GAAAGGGGTTTACAAGCACTTCTCGAGGGACACCACAAATAGGAGGAGGAGGAGAAGGAGGAGGAGGAGGAGGAGAAGGAGGAGGACCACCTAGAAATTTCGACAGGAGGCGGCGTCGAGCCTCCCTTATCTTGGTCTTTCCCAGCACTGGGCCGGCGCCTGCGCTGAGAAGGCTGGAAACACCGAAGCCTTTCCCAGTGGCGGCGTTGCTCCTGCGACCGCAGCTCCTCCAAGCTGCGCAAATGCAGAAACTCGGACTGGGCGTGGGGAGCAACGGGAAAGCCGAATTGGTCTCGGAGTGGGCGAGGCGGCGATGTGGGAGGCGGAAGCCTCGGGCAGGGCAGAGGCCCTTCTTCTGCTCCGTCCCGAGGGCCTCCGGGAGAGGCTCCGGCGGCGAGATGCCCCCCGTGTCCCCATCCACTCCCACCCTTTGCCTTCAGGCCCTCCTTCTCCCTGTCCTCTTCGTCTTCCACACTGATTTGCCGGCTCTGTCGCCCTTCCTCTCCGCCCTCTCCCTCGCCCACCTGCTCGCTTACACGCGATGGGCCTCCCCCGCCCGGGCCCAACCAGATGGCCACGTGAATGAAGGTACCCCAGAGCACATCTCCTGTGGCGGGCACTGTGCAAGGAAACCAGCGATCGAGGCGGCCGTCCTCAAGCTCAATTTGGACGCTGGCCACGCGCGAAACGTCGAATTCGTAGACAGAGTAACTGTCCATCTCCTCTTCATCTTCTTCCTCCGCGCCATGCCCGCGCATCTTTGCTGGCCCGGGGCCCGCAGGTCCTGTCGCAAAGAGATCAACTTGCAAAATATCTGCCGGTAACCCATGTGGCGCGAGCGTGCGGCTCCAAGACCGGGCCTCTGGGGGCTCGGGACCAAAAAGGGGCGAGTCGGGGGCCGGTGGCAGAGCAGCCCCCACCTCTCTCACCTCCGTACCGTGTTCATCTTCATCAGCATGAACATTTGCTCCCGCTTTATTGCTGTCATAAATGGGGGCCCATTCAGCTCGAAAGCTTTCCGCGCCCAACGGGGTCGGCCAGAGTCCTTCATAAGGGAGTTGGAATGCCGTCGAGCGTCGATGCCGTGCTTTGTATGTCAAAAGCCAGTAGTACGCCCGCCGCCGCGATAGCCCACATCTGGGATAAATATCTGTACCTTATGTGGGTAAAAAGGGTGTAAGTGCGCGCACGCGTCATTGGTAAAAATGGTGGCATGAGCCTACTTAAGGCGGGCATGCCTCTATTCGACTCACAGGAATTGTAGCATCGCAGGCCCCGCATTTCTACTATCAAACCTGGACTTGGCTTGCTAGCGTGTTCCATGGTTACAAACAAAGCCCTCAAATGATAGACCCTGTGTAACAATGGTGTTTTGAAGAGGAAATCGGGATTTAGGAGGAGCGGCCACCTCGATCATGCTTAGTAGCCAGAACAAGGCGCTTCACATCAGAAAGTGAGCGAGCACAAGAATTTGCTTCTGCAGAAGAGTTTATCGGAACGACGCCTGCCACAAAAATGGATGTGATCAGTGAAGTAAGCACAAACATTGCCTGGAGTACGTGGGCATGATTTCCCCCTTGTACTTTTTCAGTCCCCAACACGAGTACGACAGAGGAGCAAGGTCGACTCGGAGCTTCCTACTAGTAGAAGTAGGCTAGCGTATTTTGGCGCACGCGATGTCACGCGCTAGGGAAGCGTCCTTATTTGCAACTGCCATCTTCTTTTCAATATTCTAGGAAAGGTTTCACATGAGAACCTGGGACGCAATACGGAAAATCGTCACAACATTTAATTGCAGTGGAAAAAAATCTGACAAGGATAATGATGGGGCTTGGGATGATCGAAGAGGAGGGCGGCTTGATAAGATGAAAAGTCCACCGCAAAGCCAGAATGAGCAGGAGCGTCCCCAGGTGAAGCAAACAACGTGGTTGCCGCACGAGGAAGAGGTCGTGATATTCTCCATGTGTACCCCCGCCCTGGGTGCGGCCATGCACACACGCCTACCTCCTCGGCAGACGGGACAGCAGATGGACGATTGCGGGGGCTTAAAAGGCGATGCGGTGATTGGGGACAGTAGCGGAGTGATACTTGCAGAGCAACGTCGGATGCAGTCGAAAGCATTGCAATTGAGCTCAGGCCTTGAAGGTGTCAGCAGTACACGAATGGTTCAGGCTGTGCCGCTGCCGCGAAGTCATCAGAGTGCTTCGAATCTGAGCAGCCAGAAGCAGCAACCGCAAAATAGAGACGTGGCGCGCACGGAACAGCCTGGAGAGGAAGCACCAGGTTTCAAAAGAGGAGGGGACGCTCTGAAGTGTCTCCACGCCCCTAGCGCGGCACGCCCGAGTCATGCCCCTCCTTTGTCCCGTGACGTTGGCGGTTCCGGCCGTTTCAAACGACTAAAACACGGCACTTTTTCCTCCCCACCCACCATGCCCGCGAAAGGAAGCGCGGCTTTGCGGCCGGCAGTTGTGGACGTGGAAGGGGAAGAGGAGGCGGGTATGATAAATGGCGTCCGAAGCGAGAAGGCAGATGATTACAGCATCTTGCACGACAGGCACTTATTCGGTGGTGGAAGAGCAACGTCCGAAGGCAAGGCTGTAGGGAGACGAACCCAAAGCGGGAAGGACATGGGGGGAGAAAGGGCGAGGGCTGATGGCTTGGCGAGCGGCGGCGCCTTCTCGGCATTCGCAGAACCGAAGGCCGCTGGCGGGGATGTGGTCGTCATCGAGGACGAGGAGGAGGGCGGGGGAGGGATGGGGCCTGGGAGAGACGAGATATGGAAAGGAACGGATGACGAGGGGCAGGCCTCATGCCAGGCGAGGCGGGGTCCGCTGGCGTATGCCAAGGCACCCCCCGCGGAGTTGTATCGCGCCAAGGACGGGGGGAGGGAGGAGCTGCAGGACAAGGAGTCGTGTACAGGTGGGAAGGAGCAAGGCGTTGCGGAGAGGGGAAGAGAGAGAGAAGCGGAGGAAGCGAGGGAGGAGGCGGCCATCAGCATGGAATCCTGCCTGACCTTCCTCTTGGAAGGGGCGGAGCAAGAAGCCTTTGTCGCCGCGCGCCATTTCTTGGGCGATCACGGCGGTGTTCAAGGGAGGAAGGAGGGAGCTCGAGACCGAAACGAGGAGATGGGCGAGTCCATGCTTGGTGGTGGGGCCTTGGCAGCCTTGGCCGACGAGCGAATGGGCCGCAGGACCCGACCAGGCGCCTTGTCTTCGCTATCCCCGGTCACCGGCCCCCTTGCCGGCGGCGGCGGCAGCAAAATCGGAGGGAAAGGGAAGCATTACCAATTCACAGAGGAAGGCCTCCAGGACGTGATTCTACGGCTGCTTCGAGACGAGATGCTCTCCGACGAGGTCTTGAACCGAGCACTGGACATGATGGCGCACACGCCGGTGGCGGAGGCGGCCGTCCTCTTGAACACCTTTTGGTACGAGAAGATCAAGGAGGGTAAGTACGTGGAGGCCAAGGCCTGGCTGGAACGTGCCCTTGGCGGCCGATCCAAGGCCTCGCTCCGGTTGGTGTGCGTTCCCATCAATATCGCCAACGCCCACTGGGTCCTCGTGTTCGCGGACCTGGTCAGGAACACCGTGCAGGAATGGGACCCGGCCTCTGCCACGGGACCGCTGGATCCTAGCCGCCTTAAAAACGTGAAGGATGCCCTGGAAAAATTTTTTGGATTCGAAAAATTGAAAAGACCGCCCCTTGCTCTTGTCCCGGCCCCGGCCGGGCTACCCCAGCAACCGGATGCCGTCAATTGTGGCGTCTTTGTCGTCATATACCTGATTCAAATCTGCTTTGTCCGAGAGTTTACTTTGATCTTGGATCCCAATGACTGGCCAGGCAGGGCGGTCCAAGATGGCGGACAGGGCGGCGAGGGGGGGCAAGAGGGAGGGCAGACGCGCTTAGGCGGGGGGCCTGTTGCGGATCCTCCTATCGCTGAGAGCGCCCGTCAGCTCCGGGGTCAGGGGATAGCTACAAAGCTAGCGCTAGTGCCTCCTTGTATGCTTCGGGTATCGGAAAATGACCTGCTCCGATACAGGCTCTTCCTCCTTGCCCTGATTTTGCACAGCCAGACCTCCCACCTATCCAGGACAGATCCAGTGCTGCTTTCTTTCGTGTCGGAGAAACGGCGAGACTGGAGGATGGAGACGGATTCTCTGGGTGCGTTTCCTCCTACGTCAACGCCGCTGCGTTCTGAACATGGTGTAGGAGGAAGAGGGCGGGGAGAAAGCGATAGGAAAGACATGGAGATGCAGCGACATCTGTTGCTTTCCTTGGCCAGGGACAAGTCAAACGATGAAGCCATGCAAAGCCTTTTCCTTCAGGCTGCTATGAGCTTGCTCAATCGGTTTTCTTCGGACGGGCGTATCGTTTTTGTGAGTCCGTGCTGGTATGAAAGCTTGGTCGCCGGGAATATCAGAAGATCGATAGCCATCATGGAAAAGCTGTCGTTGGCGAATGTAGAGGTGTTGTGTCTGCCTATATATCATCCAGGAGCTGGTGGGTGGATCCTTGCACGCGTCAGCCTTTTGGAAGAGATCAAATCCATATATCTACATGGCACACACGCCTTGGGAGAGGCCGAGCACATTTTCCCCTTTGTTGAAAGGGGTTTACAAGCACTTCTCGAGGGACACCACAAATTACACTGGCGACAATTAGCTCAGCCCTTGGAATTAGTGCCACATGCTCACCAGGTACCCGTGGCTTTGGTCCTACTGTCTATGCACATTCTGCGGAAAGGACCTGATGCTCGAGCTCCCTCAGGCGAACTTACTAATAATTGGGGAAGTAGCAGCATGCCCGGTTTGCGATTCGATGACCAACACACATATTTTTCAGCCAAAGTTGGCATTCTCCGTTGGCTTCTGCGTCACACTTCACGTGCGTGAAAATCAAATAATAAAAAGCTTTGTAAACTTTCGCAGAGAACACAATGTCATGTATACATAGGAGTAAAATTCCAAAAATGAAGAAAAGCGATGATCTTGGGCTTTTTGATTTCCCCATTGAGGAAGCAGTCCGTTGTAGATTTAAAAATACGCTGTACTGCCTATTGCATTGGACATGGACATGATTCATGTCCGTATGGTTGCTCTATCAATTATCGTGGCCTTTATGCAAGCACATGGCGGTCATATACAGCTTGATGGCCGGGTGGTCATCTTAGTTGGATTCCGCGGAAAAGGTTGAATGCGAAGGATTGTGTGACACGTCCGTGAAGCATTTGCGTTGCACGTTCCCGAGGGGCATCACACTGTACGCGCTTACTGGCGATAGCTACCCGGAGCCGTTGCGAAACGCCTCAAAAACGGGTGTGCGCGCCACCTGACTTCATTAGAGTTAGCAGCGCGCGCTCTGCTTGCAGATGCTTTTTATGTCAATAGTTGTCTGAAAGTGTGAAGGAATTTAAGATTAACTCTCACTTATTTTATCTCTCATCCTTTCCATAAATTGACCTTCCGGTCCGGGCTTACGCTACTTCCTGAAGCGGTGTAAACAAATACGTAGGGACCCCAGCTCGACTTTGCTGCTTTCCATTCCATCTGATCGCTTGTTGGTAATCGCCTGTGATCCCTTTAGTTCCTGTATATAAGAATTATTGGCCAAGCCCTGCGTTGGGACCATGACCGAACCTTCTCCTGACCCCTTCAACTCCTTGCCAGCGGACGTTTCCTCCTTCTGCAAAATCAATGAACGTGGCATAGGTAATCTTGACCTGTAAGTTTTGAAAAGAGAGGATGAAGTATGGCGGGGTCAGAATTCATGTGCGTACTAAAATCATAAATGGAAACCAAAACAAGGATGGCGATGTCTCGGATGCGATATTGCATTATCACTTTCCTCTCCCATACGTCCTCTTTAACCCTGTTTTGCTTCTCCCACTTCCTTTTTCAGTGCCGACTTAATGAACACAATATACATCAATTTATTGGTGTTCGTTCTGCTGCTCATACTTTTTGAAAAGCTGCGGCACGTCAAGAGTGTCTACTTCTGCAGGGAGGAGTGGATGCGGCATCGGAGACCACCGGATCTTCCTCCAGGCTTTCTTACGTGGGTCCGTCCTCTTATGTCCATACCCAAGGAGCGTATCTTGCAGCTTGCAGGCCTTGACGCCTACATGCTGTTACGCTACATCCAAATGTGCCTCAAGATCTGTTTATGCTCGGGTTTTTTTGGATTAGTCGTTCTCCTGCCTATGTACGTGCACGGAGACAGGTCCAACCCTTCCGATGGCCGTCTCAGCACCATTATGAAGGATCCTAAACTTATATCGTTGGGTAATATCAAGGAACTACATTGGCTTTG